CCCCAAAACCCCAAAACCCCAAAACCCCAAAACCCCAAAACCCCAAAACCCCAAAACCCCAAATCCAGTAAGAAAATTGGGTTTATTTACTCATGGTAATATAATTATAGCTGTAATGGCAAAGAAGTCCAAATTATACGTGGTCTCTTAGTTCTCTTCAACTACAATGTTTGGCCTCTGCTTGGCTTTTTCCTCTACACTTTAGAGTACAGTCTTACCTCTATCTGTGGGAAGCTCAGGGAGAATTGCTTTTAGGTAGGATTTCATCCTTTTATCAGGTATTTTTGAACCAATTTTCTTTGGAGTCTACCAAAAGTGAGATAGAGGTTTACCTTTATTCCTCCTTCAAATTCCTTCTTAAGGCTTTCAACTTGGAACTGATTCAGACTACAAGTTAGAGAGCTATCCTACCGTTTAGAGGTGGGGTTCACCTTCTTGAATTTAAGGTTTTTGAAGAACCCATTGTTATCCTTGAAGAATCTCTTTTGCTTCTGATATTTGCCAACCTGAGGAGATCTGGCCTGGTTCGAGAAGTGATCTCTAAACTTTAGAAGTCTTAGCTCTACCTTTTCTGAAATACTTTCTTTGCAGGGAAAAACTTCTTAATATTGGGACTATATTGGGCATAATTATGGGAGTAAACTAGGAAAGAACCGATCGAACACAGATTTCGCACATGAATGAAGACCAACAGGTCTTCGGAACCCCAGCCAAATTGATAGAATGAATACTAGTGGTTCTTACTTCTTCTTTCAGAGGAGCTCCTTTCTCTGTTGCTATAAGCCGAGTTAAGATTCTTGGATTATTTTTGAAATCATGATGTAGTAGTTATTATTAATTTAAGACACGATATATTGTATTTCACGAAAAGTTGAACTAATGATCTGTACAACCGCCACAGGAAGTGAGACATAATTTTAAAGAAATTTCACGTGTATTTACAATATTTGTGCTGTAAATTGGAGCTATAGGGGATTAATCAGAAATCCTTACAACAAATTTTGGGAGATCCAGAGGTGATGGAGTCTTTGGAGTACTTCCGTTTCTCCAGTTTTAGAAGCTTGGAAGGCCTGTATACTCCTGGTGATAATACTCCTCTCCTGCTCTGCATTTTGGATTTCACTATATAGAAGTTTTAGAAGTTGCTACCCAAAGTCTCACTTTTAGGAATTTTAGTGGGAATTCAAAAGAGAAGATACAAATAAATTTCATGAAAGAAATATTTATTTTATGGTATGATACCCTAAGGACAGAAGTGAGCATGGCAGGAGATATAGCATTAGCCAAATGCTTGCTTACAACTTTGTAGATACTCCTCATCTCCGTTCTTCATCTTGCTAAGATCAGCAAACATTAGCTTTTTGTGAGTGCAATTTAGGTAAGTTTTGATCTCCATTTTGAAAGTCTCGATCTCAACTTTCCCATTTGAAGTTTGTTTGAACTCCTTGCTTTGGTTAAGGCTAGTCTTGGTCTGTATGGATTCTTTACTATAAGGATAGATCTCAGGATAAAATACCTCTTTGTTCTCCAGCTGCGGAGATCTTCTACTGAACTTTCATCATTCATGAGGGTACTTCTATATCAATATAAGTCTTAGGCAGGGATGGTGTATCAAAAGATTGCTTACTCATTGTCACTAACTTTTCTGTTGCTAATTCTCTTATTTAATCCACTTCTGAACATCAATTTCCTTGAGCCGCCTATACTAGGATCAGTGGACGTTCTAAACCCAGATTTCCAAGGAATTTTGTAAGATTTGTCCTAGTGGCATAGGCTTACTTGCTCTTCCTAATTTTCAAGTTTGGAAATTCTTTTTGGGGTGGAGATAAGCTCATGAACCTCTGCTTTTCCCTCCTTTGGGATTGAGGAATTGCTACTTGGGTTATTTGATTTTCCATATTTGTAAAATTTATACAGTAAACTATTTATTTCTTCTTTATAACTAGTAAACCTAGCTTCAATTAGCGAAATATTGGCTGGGGTTTTGGGGTTTTGGGGTTTTGGGG